CCCGCAGCCGCACCGCGCCACGCAGCGCCGCACCTGGCCTGGCTGCGAACTCAAATTAAAGGGAGCCGGCGAGGCGAGCCCCTTGGGGCCACCTCCGAGGGGTCGTCCAGTTGGAGCCCTGGGCCTCAGGCCCCACCCCATGAGCAAAACATTCATTCTTTGGCTAGTCCAGTTAACTAACCAGAGTGGCGTGCAGAGTTCATCTGGGTGCTGCTGCCGGGGGTGGAAGAGATGGAGAGGGCCGAAGTTGAGGAGCTCTTAGGAGAGGATCCTGCCAACGTAAAGAAAACAATCAAATAGCAGCTCTCCCAGGCCCGAGGCAGGATCCAGCCCTGCGGGAGGTGTGCTGCTACTACTACGGTGCCGCTGGACAGGATCTGTACACCCCGGACCCTCTCTCTGCCCGCTGTCGCGCTGCGCCCCCTCCGGCAGCTGTTTTCCACCTGGCTCTTAACTAGCAAAGATTCATGGGGCTTCTTAGGGGAGTGCGGTAGGTGCGGGCCAGGCAGTAATAGGGCAGAAACTTGGTCAGGAACAGCAGACCCGCAGGGCCGGCCCTCTGCCTTCCTAACTCCCCCCACCTCCACCCCGGGGCCCTGGCCAGGGAAGGCCCAGGACACGAAGCTGCCCTTGGGAAGAAGGGCCAGCTACTCACGAAACGTCCTTGCACAGATCTGACAAAACTGGCCAGCCGTTCCACAGGGCTGTCAACTGCACTAGTGCAGCTCACCTTACCGTGGCTGGGCAGAAGGGGATGCCTCTGGCTTTTGGGAGAATGTTTATAGGAAATCCATCTTGCTCTTGCCTGGTCAGGTTGTTTTGGGAAGCCACATGACATCCCCAGGCTTCTGCTAGTTCTATTCTTCAGCCTCTATCAGAACATCCCAGACTTGTGCTCCAAACAGTGACTCCTTGATATCAGACCCAAGTAGACATAAAGCTCCTGGGTTCAAAAGGGCTCTAGTGTGCAGAAGGCTCCTGTTGGGCCCTCCTTTCTCTCGAGACCCCCTCTGTGGATGGGTACCTCCTGATGGGAGCTCTGAGAGCCACAAGGCCCAGGCTCTGTGGATTTCTGTGGAGAATGAATAATTATTCTAAATGACGGCATGTCATCATGGTGGTCTACGACTGTGGGGTGCCCCTCCCCCAGAGCTGCAGAGGGTAGCCTGGGAAGACAGTGGCCTTGGTGAGCTTGGAGAGTAATTGATGGCTATAGGGTGGGACTGTTTAGGAGCCATCCAGACCCAAACTTAAGTCTCTCCCAGTTCTTAGGTGAGTTACTGTCCTACAAAGTGAGGCTAACTCTCCGAATGTGACAAGGGTTAAGTTATTGCTTGTTAAAAGTTTAGTACCAACAGACAATCAGTGACTTCTCCAATCTGCAGCCCTGTGAGCTCTCTTCATAAATCCTAGCCTCCAGTTATGTTTCTCTCTGTGCCACATCATCTGGTCTTTGTTGCTCATTCTGTCTGCTTTTCTTTCCTTCCCCTGAGGTCTCAGCCAGGCTCAGTCCTTTCGTGTAAAAGTCCTCCTGAACCTGGCTCTGTATTCCTTCTCAAAGCCTTGCCAGATCATACTGAGGGGCTCTGTTCTCTTGCTTGTCACACTGGGTCTTCAAGTTCATTGAACTCCAACAGCGTCTTATCACTGTTATCATGTTTGTAAGGACTTTTTGCTTACTTTTGTCAAAACAGAAGATGCAGACAGAAGAAGGCTCTCGAGGGAGAATTAATAATTGTTCTATCTGGTGGCATACGTTTACCATATGTAAATACTGTGTTAAGCACTTCTAATCCAGTGCAGCATTTAATTCCTCTGTCTCTAAGATATGGTGTCTACATTGACCATTTCATAGAAAAAGGAAACTGAGGGGGGGGGAAGTAACCCTGCCCAAAGTTAATAAGTGGTGGCTCTTGGATTTGAATTAGGTCTTTGTGACTCCACAGGGTATGTACCCTTTAACCCCCACAGCAGTCTGGACACGTGGATAAGCAGCCCTGGAATTTCATTCCTTGCTCTGGGGTCTTTCTCTGCTACTATCTTCTTATTTGGCTTCAGGGGTATGTCATCCTTCCTCTCCCTTTTAAAATCTGACCTAAGTGTGAACAAGTATAAAAAAGATATCAGCTAAAGAAGGAAAAGAAGGAGGAGGAGGGAAAGGGGGAAGAGGAGGAGGAGGAGCAGGATAAGGAGGAAGAAGAAGGAGAAGAAGAGGAGAACAAAGAGGAGTAGGAAGAGGGGAAGAAAGAGCCATAGCAACAGTTCTGGAGTATTTCAGGCTTATGTCCTGAAAGGCACCTTCATTGGTACCTTGGTTTGGCAGTGCAAAAAAATAATAATGAAATGGTAAGAAAAAGAGCACTGGGTAAGTTCCCAGCATGGACACTTGAGCAAGCTGTGAGAACTTGAGGACGTTTTTGAAACTCTCTGAGCCTGAAGTTCCTAATCTATCAAATGGGAGAGCAAAACTTCACAAAGTAGCAAGGATTAGAATAGTTACACTGAGTGGCCAACCAGCTAGTTTAACTGGTAGGCTAAATTAGCAGGTGTTTACTTATGAGCTCTCTTTCCAGTCCTATAGAAGTCATCATTTCTTATCTTTGGCTCCAAAAGAACAGCCAAAGAGTCCTTTGGTCTTTTCTCTGGGGAAGGGTGAGTAGTCCAAAGATGATTCCCTTCTATTTTAGCTTCCTACTTGGGAGCTGGGCCCTGCCTTCTGCAGAGCAGAGGGCTGTGGTGACAGCCACAATGAGTACGGGTGACTACAGTCATTTAAAAGAAAAGCTTATCTATCACTGGGTGTGCACACTTATACCCACCCAGAGGGACAGGGTTGGGGAGGAGCTCTCCGATTCCTCCTACCGCTCTTTGTGAACTCAGAAGGACTACATAAATCTGTCCTTGGGCATTACTTCCAGGGACTGGCTCTCTTTCCTCGCACGCCCACCCCTGCTTGATGCTCCCCACAAACTCTTTCCCTTGAGTGGTGGCCCATCTTCTCAAGCCAATGAGCAAGCAGGGCAGGAGAGCTCTGGCTGAC